TATTGATATGTTATTGTTGTTGGGTGTTGTATATATATGTTTACAGGTTGGTTAATCCTAATTATAGAAGAGATAATGCCGAAATTTTATTAAAAATAATTTATAAAAGTTGCATATTGTAGTAACTTTGATGGTGGGTCCAACTTTTAGTTGGTATATATCATTGGTGCATGTCACATTTCTGATCCACTAGCGGGACGTGTTAGACGGGTTTTTGTCCCTTCATGGAAAGCCCATATCTCATAGTAAAAAACTTGGAATGGCGAAATATTCTTTTCTATGAAAGTAGACTCATTAATATTTCTGACGATGAAAGGCTTGACAAGTAGAACTTTATGAGGAAAAGCACTTTATTCATTAAGTTCATAAAAAAATCGATTATGCTAAAATGAAAATCATGTGTCAATATCATAAATTAATTAGTCTGTGAAAATTGCAAATGAAAAATAGAGAACACATGTATCACTTGAATTAAAGGCTTGATTCGACAAACAAACCAAACTAATACATGTAGAAGAAAACAAGAAAGAAGAAGAATCTTCCCTTCTCTACACTTTTAGCAAATCAAACAATTGCTCTCTTTCTCCTCTATCTATCTGAGTCCTACAAAATGACCCATGTATAGGTGGAAAAGTAATATTTACGACCCCTTTTAGGATTGTTTTTTAGATGTAAGTCAAACTCATGTAATACATTTTGGTTACCCAAAGGGTATAAGGGAAGGGAAGAAGTGCTCTCTATAGCTTTTATTTACTATGTGTTAACGAAGTATGCGCAAAAGAGATAATGCCTATGTATCCGTGGCCTCATCAGCTCCATCAAGAAGGATAGAAGATAGAAAGCCCTTGACTTTATTGGCATTCCAAAGGTGCCAATGATTATGTGAACCGGTCTGGATTTATGCCACCTCAAGAAGCCTGTTGAAAAAAGAAGCACAAATATCATGAGAAACTATTGATATTCAAAAGGTTGTTTTTTAAGCAATAATGAGGCACCTAATAGTATATAGTAGCCAATGTTTTGAAATCCATTCGGGACATCAACCTTCAAAAGGTAAAGGTTCAAGAGTCAAATGTTTCAATGGTGATCGTTCTCATAGTTTAAAGTTAAAAATATATACTATGAAATTTATAATAACAATATATGAATATTTCAACATTACCAATTCAACGTAATTATAAATCCATATTTGTTAATCTAAAATTTATTATTAAGTTGTTTATTCACCTAAAAAATAACACCAATTCATCTACACTGAAAAACTATTTTAAGATGAAGATTTCATAACCAAGTGATATGGTTATTATAAATATTATGCTTATTGGCATAGGTACACAATGATGCTAGGAAGTTTGAAGACTCACATCGAAGAGTTGATGTTGGTGTTAAAATTTGGGCGTGACTCGAATTCCTTGTTGTAGTAATTGAAAAATTCTAACTGAAGTATACGTCAAGAAGAATTAAGTTTGGAATGTTATTGGAGTTGAAGTTCTATTTTGGAAGCCCATTGGGAGTTAAAATTTATTTTGAACTCGATTTTTTGGTATCATACTTCATCAACTCTACTAGGAGGGTTTGGACATGCCCTACATGTTCCCTATAAATATTAGGCTCTTCTATACAATTTTATAGTATGAGAAAAGAGATTACTAGAACTTTAGGACCAATTATATATTTCTCCATTATTATTGGTGTAATAAAATCTTATAATTCATTTG